AAAAGAAAAGAAAAACAAGCCTTCTACACTGCAGGTGAGAATGGAAATTAGTATGGCCATGAAGGGAGTTGATATGGAGATTCCTCAGAAGCCAAAAATAGAGCTAGTACTGGATGGAGCTATCCTACTCGTTGGTGTGTTTCCAAAGCAACTGAAGGGCGACTACAGGTTACCCGTATGCATTTGCTCAGTGTGGCACCACTCACAAGAGCCAAGTTATGGAACCAGTCTAGGTGCCCATCAAGACATGAGTGGGCAAAGAAACTGTGGTGCCAACGCAAACAGCGGGGTGCGCTAGGGCCATAAGGAAGGGATGGCGCTTCCCTCATTTGCAGGAAATTGGGTGCATCTGGAGACCGTCATATTGAGGGCAATAAGCCAGATACAGACAAATGCTGCCTGTTCTCTCAAATATGTGGAATCTAAAAGGGATGGCAAGAAAGAAAGGGAGACAATTTTTAGATGCGAAGGGAAAGAAGGGGAGGGGAACTCATATGAGTTGATAAGGAGGAATATGATGAAGATCTATGCCTTGAGGCTCCCCAAAAATGCAAAACCGAGCCAGATGTGGAGGCAGATACTTGCAGTCCCAGCATCGGGGGGCTGTGGCAGGAGGATCCCTGCAAGTCTGAGGTCATCCTGTGTTCCATACGTGAGCTCAATGCCAGCACGAACTGAAGTGAGACCACTTCCAGAAAACAAATGTGAAAAATGGGAGAGGATTATGAGGGCCACAAAGTACAGTATGTTTATGTGCATATACAAGCCTGCCAAATAGAAGCCCATTAAACTGTAAATGCAAATAAAAGGAAAGAAAAGAAAATTACAAGACAATGAAGAAATAACTGAAGTCACTGAATGCTAGGAAAATCTCCCCTGTTCATGGATTAGAAGAATAAAATTTTTTTTTATATGTCGGTGCTCTCAAGGTGATATTCAGGTTCACTACAAAACTTCAGTAAAATTCTTCACAAAACTAGAAATAATTCTAAAGTCCATATGCAAGCAGAAAAGATCCATCCTGAGATAAAGAAGAGAGCTGCAGCCGGTGGGGCGGGTGGCACAAGCCTGCAATCCCAGCACTTGCTCAGGGAGGCAGGAAATCACTGTGGGTTCGAGACCAGCCTGGACAGACACAGTGAGTTCAAGGGCAACTAAACTACATAGTGAGACACTGTCTCCAAAAGAAAAAAACAAAATTTTTAGAAAGCCGAAAAGAGCTGGAGACATTGCAGTACGTCCTGATTTCAAAAGGTACTTCAGGGGCTGGTGAGATGGCTCAGTGGTCTAAAGCATCTAC